ATTCCACTGCAAATTCCACTGGGCAGTGAGTGGAAAGTGGCCAGCAGCCCTGGGCTGTGTATGGAGTAAAGTCACCCAACTGGCCTGGAGCTGTTGAAGAGAAACTCGCCCCCACAACACCATTTTTCAAAAAACAAAGCTCTGCTACCTCTATTTACAAACAAGTTTGAACATGCTGTGCATGTTCTTTGAACAAGGGAGAGGTGGAATATGAACTGAGTTGCCGCTGGTCACATCAGCGTGGAACATCTGCAGGAGGCAAGTTGCAGCAAAAAAGGTTTTGTCAGGAGTAGCTGCAACACTGTGGTCAGAATTCATCTGCTTTATGGTCTTAAAATGTCTGTGCAGATTTAAGTACACAGCAGCAAGGTTTTAGATCACAAAAAAGGATTCTCCATGCCAAGCTGTTCTTTGTGCTCAGGATGTTAAGGTGCATTTGTGCAGGCAGCTAGAATTACTTTCCAATATAAATTGAAATTGTGAATACTGGGACTCATTTGAAATGCAGAAATGCAAGGAAGTACACCATGATGAGCATAAATGTGACTGGCTTGTGGTGCTGATGGGCTGTAAATGGCTGGTTACTGCAAAGTACTTCGAGGAGCAGGGACCTTAAAAGTCTTTCAACCTAAAGTGCTTTCAGCGAATGTTTCCCAATAACTCTGTCTTCTAGGGGAGGTTCAGTGGAGACAGTCCAGTGACTTTGAAGCTAATTATACTGTGCTGACTCCCGTGTCAGTGATTCCAGATGTGGATAATGATGGAGTTCAGGACCTGATAATCTTTATTGCTACAGGAGATAAGGTATGTCACTCTGAAGCTATGATAAACCCAGTGGCCGAACCACAGGGCATGGCGGAAATGTTACTTATTTTGATCTTGTAGTCTAAGAGGAAGTATCCAGAGTCCTCTGATATATGTGTTTGGGGTAGATTCTTTCCCACCCTGCAGAGATGTACTCCCAAATCAATGCAAGTGTTTTATGGTTTAAAAAAAAAAAAAAGAAAAAAGCTGGCCAGGAATCCCTTCCCCTTTTCAGTCTGCACTCCTCACTGGTTGTTCTTGGGCTGTGTGTGGAGTGAGCCTAGGCGAGATGAGCTTGCAGTTTTCTGGGACTTTGCTCAGAGAAGTGGAAGTGAACAAACCCTGACAGGTTTGGCTCGTAGATCAAAGCACAGCTGACAGCCAGCACTTTTGTACTACCACTGCCCTTTTCTGATACCTTTCATATCTCTGCCTGTGGTCTACTTTGCACGGCGCTCTTCCTAATATCACTGCGCTGGTTAATTCTGACTTGGGTTCATTTAGTGAAATAGCTGCTAGTTGTGTTTTTTGCTTTTCCCATTCCAATATTGCTTTTCCCATTTCTTAGAGGGTGAAACTCATGTAGCTAAAAGTGGTTTTATACTAAAAGATCTGCATCCATGATTGAGTGGTACAGCGTCATCTGCATGCGCAATCTGTCCTGCTTAAAGCATACAAAAGTTATGGTTCCCTGCAAGTCTGATGGGAGGAGTGGGAGCCCCTTGTCCTCATACCACAGTACTCCGTAAGCAAAGAGGGTTTTGCTGTCCGAGACGTTGTTGCCAGAGTCGTCAGAAATTCTATCCTCTCTGACTCCTACGGTTCTCTTCTGTTTTCTTTCCTCCTTGCTTTTGCTATCCCAGTTATCTCAAGCCTTTTTTTTTTTTTTTTTTTTTAATCTTAGGTGGCCAAGAAATGTTTGAATGTAGTCTCTGTTCTTCAAGACTGCCTTTTGATTTGTTTTCCGTTTAACCTCTCTAGCTACCTTGGTAGGAAATCCCTTCCTCCCTCCAGACTTGGCAAGCACTCTGTCAACTTAAGTACAAGTACGTTCTTTTTTGAGAAATCATGCAAAATGCAGGAAGCTTGAGTGGAGCTCTGCAGCTTGGAAAAAGGCATGCCTGTTGGAAGGGAGATTCAGAACTTCAGTAAATTAGCTTTATTGCTAACAAGGGCTGAAGCTGAACATTACATTATACTGGTTTTTCCTGAAATGGCAGAGCTTTGAGCAGTCTGTGGGGAAGGGTCTGTGTGCAGCGGGTTTAGATGGCAGCTTTTTCTGAGTGTCTTATTGACCCCTGCCTGCTGCAAGCTTCAGCACAAATACATCCGGGAAAATACGACGTTTTTCAGGATACATTGCCAGTAGCCATGCATAGAGGTATTAAGCGATGCAGTGAGTAAGGTGGTGTGTATTCTCACTTGCTGTATGAATACCTTTGGCTGTTACTGTTCCCGGGGTAGCTGCTGAACGAGGGCTTGTGAGTAAAGGTGAAGCTGATCTACAAGAGCTGGTATGTGTCTCCTCCCAGTGCGGGAGGCTGGGAACAGCTGGTGGATGTGTTGCTCTCCCTCTCCAGCTGTGTTATTCATTCTCCCTAGCAGACTCTATCCCTTATTCACCTGACAGACTCTCCAGATTCACTTCGAGAGCAGCAGATTTCCTTCTCTTTCCCAGTCTCTCCCTGTCAAGGAAGAAGGAAAGATTCCTGCCTGACTCAGCATCTCTGGTGGATGCTGTTTGTCTCATTCTGATGTTTCTCTTTTCCGTAGTGTGCACTGCTCTCCCCAGACCATAACTGTTGCCCAGACATTTGAATCTGATCCGGGTTTTAGCCTTTATTCTTCTGGGTGAAATGTTTCTAGTGGATTCTGTTACCCTGCACAAAGAATATGAAGAAACCTGTCGGCTCTTTTATCTGCTTGGACTCATGTCAGCCTTAGGAGGAGTAGATTAGGGCACTTAAAATATTTAGCAGAGCTGTGTGTGAAGCCAAGTTTCCCCTATGTCCATATGCTGCTTTGTTTCTGCCTTCAGGTCCTCTCCATCATTGTCACCGCTCGGCAGGCTTGAATTGATCTTCACTGTCCTTAGCAGAGCTGGGACTTGCTGTTTGGTGTTCCCAGCCTGCAGGGGAGGTGGTTGGCAGAGGTAGTAGAATCTCGGGGCAAGTGGCTGTGCTGGAAGTGGTTTTCAAACTTGCAAAAGTATTCACAGCAGAGGGATCATCTAACTCCTGCCTATACCTCCAAAACCAGGGAGAGACTTTTCATCTGAGCCTATGCTGTTCCCATTCAGCTGCTGTTCACTACCAGCTGCTCAAAAGCTTTGGAAAACTCTCGAGGTGGAGCAGTAACGGTGCGATGCAGCTTTAACCATTTTTTTTTTTTTTAATCCCTTCCCTGCTTAGATTAAGACCTTCATCCATTCAGGAGAAAATGGCAAACAGATTGGCTCTACTGGAAGTCTGAATGTGGATGGGAAAGCTCGCTATATCAAGCTGAACCTGGACTCCTCCTCCTACTTCCTTTTCTATACAGGTACAATTCTGTTTGTGAGTTCAGTCTGAAAGAGTGATTATAACTGTGAAATCAGGATTACTAAACAGTTGTCTGAAAGAGCGTTTTGCTTTCTTAAAAGTTGTGTCATGCTTTCACCTAGCAAAAGAGCTATTCAAGGCCAAGAGAAGGGGAGGTTTCTGCTTAAACTAAGGTTTGTTACATGCTCTAGTAATTTTATTTGAAAAATGTTAAGAATGTAAGGTTTAAGTAGTCATTTATAGCAAATGATTACTGTGGGAACACTTGGATAATGAACAGATAAGACACTAAAAGCATTCAAAAGCAGGCTTGAGTCTCAAAATATCACTACAACTCTATGATGCAAGCCCTAAAAATATAGTTGATCTGCCAGATCTGGAAAATCGTAGAGTTCAGAGCAAGGGCAGGATAACTTATCTTCCTCATTCTTGCTTTTTTTGCGCAGAAAACTCTCTCTATGCATATTCCCTGAAAGATCTCTACAGTGCAGCAACTGGGATGGAAATCAAGCTTCCCAGCCTTGAGCAAGATCCTCAGTGGGAGAAGAACATTGACCACACCACGCACCGTTTATCCCTTCTCAGGTGTGAGATTATGTCTTGGTTGCTGGTGGATTGGAGGATAGTGGTGTTCCTGACAAGATGGCCTATTGTGGCTTTGTTCTTTCCTGGCTACGTGGCTTTTGGACTAGGAGCACATCCAAAGCTCGGGAAGAGGGCTGGTGTTGATGGCCTGGTCAGGGTTTCACAGGAAGGGAGGGAAAGCAGGCTGGGGTTTCCTATTTGTATTTACCGTGCAGGGAAAAAGCCAAAAACCCACAGTAAAAGCATCCACAGTCCAGAAAGAGTAAACATTTCTCTGCCCTTGTTCAGCTCTGGAGACATTCGTTACCTGGCAAAAATTCCTGGGCGATCACGGGAGAACATCTTGGTTGTGAACTCGGAGATGGCTACGCTGATCAATGCACAAAATCTTCAGACTTTGTGGACCCTCAACGTGTCCCGTGTTGTGAGGTAGTGTTACTGATGTGGGCTGGATGAGGCATTTCCAGGATCCCAGCAGCGGCAGTGTCCTGGCAGATGTTATGTTTTTAATTCATTTGAAACATAAAAGCCTGCACTGTGTTCATATCTGGATCGTGCTATTGTGTCCTCTGCTAGCAAATGTCAGATGCCACTTCAAAATGGAGGAGCCCAAATCTTTGATTCTTCATTCTGTGCCTGCTGCAGTATGGCTGTCTTAGGACTGGGCTCAGAGCTGGGAGGGGTACCAGGCTAACCTAACATAGCAGTCGAGTTCTTACAGGAGAGTTGTTGGGAGGATAGAGGCTGCTCTGAAAGAGCAAGGTATGCCCAGGTCTTCCTGGTGTGTTATGATCTGTCCGTTCTCTTTCTCTCCCTTAGTGAGCCACTGCTTGGTTACTACAAACCTGATGTTCTTGGCATTGTCCTCGAGAGTGAAATTGGACCCAACAGAAAGAAGGTTTGAACACTCTTCCTTTTAACTTCCCTTTTCTCTGCACATCTCAGGTCAAGCAGGCAGAGTCAAGGGCAGCTGGTGGGATGTTCCCTCTGGCTGATTTTAGGAAGTTTTAGACTGGGAAAAGATCTCTTTCAACAGGTTATTGAAGCCAGATCAGGCACTTTAATTCTCTTCTCAGCAAGAGGCTTCAATGACAGAGCTTTGAACCCCTTGAAATAGCTGCAAAACTTGTGACTTTAACATGGCCCACCCCAGGTCTCACAGCTCTGTGATGCTCAGCTTCAAGTATCTCCTCATCTTCCCATGTGTCAGATACTTTTTGTCATAGACAGTGTGGGGTAGAGACAGCTGACTTGACTTCTCTCTCATGGCTTGTTAGAGCTCTTTGGTATGAGTTCCTTTTCTTTCTTCCCTGCTAGGTTATGATTGTTGAGAGTGGATCTGGAGCAGTCCAGTGGGACCTGAAGCTGAACTCAAGAGCAGAGAGCCCTGGGCCAGCCACACTTTCTACTGCTGATCACCGGTCCACCTTCCTCATCTGGGGTGAATACCAGGCAGCAGGAAATGAAACGGTGAGTAGTGTTGCTGAATGGTTGCTGTTCTCCAGACTTTGGGCCAGAATTGGGTGGAGCTACTCCCTTTTCCCAGCATTCACATTCGCATCGGTCTGTGCCACTAACGCTGCGGCCTCCTGCACTGGGTGTGGGGCCACTGCCCAGTCAGGTCTGCTAGAAGCAGGCAGACCTCTGTGTGTGATCTGGTCTGTACTGGGTCCTCACAATGTCCATAGCAATGTCCCTGCTAGCAGCTGGTAGTGCACCAACAGCTTTTGTCGTCCTCAGCCTGGCTACGTAGAGAAAAGGGACTTAGTGGCTTTATGAACAAAGTCACTGGATTGCCCAGAGTCCTGCCTTAGTGTGATACTGTAGGTGAGGCGAGAGGCTGCTGGCTTGGTACCTCTGAAGTTCCTGCTGTTTGGCCTGGAGCCTCCCGCAGCAGTACTGCACACAGTGATCTCGCATGGCCACGTGAATATCCTCTCTCTGCGCCAAGGCAGCCTCTGGCTGCCTCAGTGCATGGCTCAGCTGCGTAATGGAGCCCTCTGGGGCAGTGGCGGGCCACGTTAGTGACAGGTTGAGTCTTGGAGGATGCCTGAGCACCAGCTGAGCTTCCTGTGCTTTCCTCACTGACTCTACCAGCCCTAAGGCAAAAATCTGTCTCCTGCCTGTAGCAGACAGGCATACTATTTGCAGGAAGCTTGGGGTGGGGAGGAGAGCACCAAACAATAAGCAAAATCCCAACACTAGTACTAGTGGCATCAGACAGGATGAGTTGGGCAGACAGGGACAAGTATCTGTCTGGATATATTCTGTTGAGCATGAGTAATCGCTGAGCCTGGTGCTGGTGTTGTCTCTGGGATAACATGTGGGTCCATGTCCTGATAGTGTCCTGTTGGTTGCAGAGATCCAGAGCTCCTCTCCAGAAGCTGTATCTTTTCCATCCTTCCTACACTAATGTCCTGTTGGAGCTCCGCAATAGCACAGACCAAATAATTGCATTCAATGGTAAGTCCTCTCCTTCCAGCCCTCCAGCGAGGACATGCAGGAGGACACTGGCCTTCTGGTACCTCCTGGACTCCCTGGGTGCACGGTGTTGGGTCTGGTGGCCAGTCTGAACAGAGAGACCTTAGGCTGGGCTTTTCTCTCTGCTCTGCGTTACAGCCACACTGTTCGAGCGGAGCCGTCATGCCTGCTATGTGTTGTTGACGGGGCCTCAACCCAGTGAGGAGCCAGGGTCAGTGTCTCTGATGAAGCGTAAGCTCAAAGAGGATGTCTCCGAGAGCAGGGTGATCTGGCTGAGCCAGGTGGCTGTGGACAGCGAGCAGTACGTCCGGGACCGCCTCTACAGGATGCGATTCCACAGCCGAGTGTGAGCTTGCCGAGGGATAGGGAGAGGCTGCCCTGGCCCGGGCATCTCCAAGCTGCCTCTCCTCTGCAGCTGTGCTCTTAGCAAATCCAGATCACGAATTCAAATGGGAAGCTGCCTTTCTCGATCTGCAAACCAAAGCGTGGCTGGTGGAGAAGCACCCCCAGTTGTCTGGGGTCGCCCAGGCTGCAGGGGCGGCTGCCAGTGCATCTGTCCTCAGAGGTGATAGGACTTCAGTGCTTGGCCACCACTGAGTGTTGTCAGCTCCAGGAAGAGGGCTTTCCCGTCAATCCTTCTGTGCCCGCAGAACTGTGCTGACTCAGCCTGTGTCTGGAGGAAAACACATGCTTGCTGGGGATGCCAGAGTTGATTATTTCTTGGGTGCTTGCGTGAGAAGTGGAGCTTCGATGTGTGGTGTTAGATTTCCTTTGAGTCAGCTCTCCTGGCTGTGGGAGAGGTGGATGGCTGCAGGTTGATTTGCAATTGCCCTCTCCTGGATTTGGGTCCCTGCTTCGGTAGTCATGGGGTGTGTGTAGTGATAGACCCCTGCTGCAGCTGATGATGTGGCTAGGTGTCACCCAGGCCAGCAGAGCACAGGTTAAAGTGTCATTCTACTTAGAAAATGATCTTTTCTCCTAAACAGCCCCATGTGCCCCACTCCTCAGTTGCAAGCCTACCTGTGTCCATCTCCTCTGTTGCTTTCTTTCCAGCCAGGCTGTGCAGTGTTCGTGACACGGAAAGGGAGCTGGTCTCCCCCCTGATTTATGCATCAACGTTCCTCCCTGTCCCCATTACAGATGATACGAAAACCACCCTGAGTCCAGGCTGGCTGGTCCCTGCCGGTGTGGACACCACCTCTCCTGCTGGTTTTGAGGTGCCAGGGGATCTAGGACATTTTTTCAGAGTAGAATTGCACTTTAACCTTGCCTGGGAGCTGGGCTTGCTGCCCTGGGGAGCCCTGTACCCGAGTGGCAATGCTAGCTCTCCTGCAAATACTCTTTCAGTCTTGCAGCTGCTAAGGAGCCTTCTCTGAGCACTGTCCCCTCTGCCAGCAGGTGGGCAGGCTGTAGGACAGGCATGAGCCACTTAGGGAGACAACGTAAGCTGTCTCTGCAGCACAGCTCCAGAGAGAGCTCTCTGCTCCCTCCCTGCCCTTGGAATTGAAGTGATGCTGGGTGAGGATCTTCAGGTGCTGTTCTTTCTGTCAGCCTGGTAGCCCAAGGGAATGGGATGGGTTGCTGTGTGAAGATGATGTCTCCCCTGGAGCCTTCTGTAGCATGGTGTGTATGCTCTGCCCTGTTCCTTGCTGGGCACCAGTATGGACTAGAAAAGAGGTGCAAAGCCTGGAAAACGGTTTGAATCGGCTGCTCAGTCCTGAAAGCTGCAGTCCCCACACCAGCCACACTGAGACACAAGCCCTGTCCTTTTGCTGCTGGGTGTCCATCTGACTGGTGAGAGGAAGGTGGACAGGAAACACACTCTAAAAATAACCTCTCTCGAGTTTTGTGGTGCTGGGAGGGGGTTTGGCCATTGCCTCCCTCCCTTGCCTAGTCTCAGATCAGGGTGTGTGTAGAAATACTGTAGGATGAGAAACTTAAGCTGGGTTGTGTAGGGTCGAGCATCAGTTCTCTTGTGACAACTGCTGAGCTTTAACCTGCTGCAGGGCAGCTCCTAGCTCCGGCAGCTGGCGTCACCCAGGCTTATGCTCATGCCCACAGCTTCAGGTCTCCCAGTCTTGCAGCAAAATGAGCTGCAGCATCAGCGGTCTGCCTGGATGCTTACCTCCTGCTTCCAGCTGGCCCGGTAGTTGCCTAAAGGGTGCTCTGGCTCCCTCTGTCCTGTGACCCGTAGCGCAGTCAGTCAAGGGAACCATGGATGATGAGTGCTGCTGGCCTCTGCAGAGCTGTGCTGCTGGCGGAGCACAGTCCTGGGGCGTCCAGGCTGTGCAGGAAGCTGGGGATGCTCCCAGGAGAGCACTCCACAACCCGCAAAGCACCGTGGACTCAAAAGTGGTGGGTTTCCCTGTCTGTTCCCTTTCCAAGCTGTTTTCTGAGTGAGTCTGGGGATGCAGGGAGACTCCCCTGCCATCTCCCCCAGCTTAAGTTGCCTCTTTGCACAGCACGATGAAGACCTGAAGCCTGGCAGCCTGCGCCAGTGTTGCAGGGATCACGGGCTGTGTCACAGCTGCAGAATCCGGGCTGTGAGGGCCATGTTCAGCCTGCCCTTCCGCCGGCTGGGGCAGAGCCGGGAGCGTGGCTGCAGGAGCCTGGCAGTGGGAGTCCCAGGCTTGCGTGCTAGTCTGATCTGTGTGTTGGATGCAGATTGTATCCCACTGAAATTCCCCTGGCAGGGAGCAAGGTGCCTGGGCCGTATTCTCACCACAATCGCAGTGTCTCAGCTCTCTCCCTTCTCTGATGCCTACCCAGACCTGACCTTTCCCATGGGCACACTAAATGTTCTTTCAGGAGAGCTGGATTTTCGGCTTTGGGGGGCTTTTTTGGCTTTAAGTTGTCCATTAATGTTTCCAGATACTTTGGAAACGCAGATTTCCCTGTGGCAGCTCAATTAAACGCATCAGTGCCAAACCAGCACCTTCTTAACAAAGCAAGTCCTTTTCCCAGCTTGTTTCCCTGTGTAATTGGTTTTTTGCAGTATTTAATGAATGAATTTGTGCCTTGATTCAATAACTCAGATGGGTGATGATGGCATATATCACTGTGTTATGTATTAGTGTGGTTTTTAACACTAAGACTGTTCGGTTTGGTTCTTTAACTTATTGCAAATTGTGCCCTATAAGACTTGGTCTAACGGGAATGGTTTCAATAAATCCTCTTTTGCATTGTTTGTAAATGGTGCCCTGCTTTTGTTGTTGCAGCTGAGGTTATGCAAGACTTCGGGATTTTTTTGGCAGCCCTTTGTGTGACTTCCCGAAGGCAGAAACCCCCTTTTTTGGGAGGGATCCAGGTGTCCTGGTGATGCTTTGATGGCTGAGCTGGCCACGGCTCTGCCCAAAAGTGCTGCTTGCTGCCCTGTCCCGCTGCAGGCAGGTGATGGACTGGGAGAAGGGAGCATGCGGAGGGAGCCTGGAGTTGGATAACCTTCCCTGCCCCCCACCTGGGGCTCCGTGACCTGGTTAAAAAAAAAGTCCATCAGGGTGAAATTCTCACACTGGGGCTGGGATTTGGATCAAGCCGGAGGGAGCCGTGTGGCAGGCGGTGTCTTGTGGAGCATGGGACCATCTGTCGCTGCCCGGTGGCTGCCAGTGCTGAGGTCCCAAGCTCCATCCTGTGACTGAGGCTCCTGCAGCTTCCCCTGGCCCAGGGCCCCTCTGCCTCAGCACTGAGCTGAGAAAACCCCCCTGCTCCGTGCCAGGGGTCCTGAGCTCTGTGGCAGGGAAGGATGCTGCGGTCCCAAGGATCCCAAGCATCCATGGCGCTTGGTTGTTCAGGGGCTGGGGACATCCCCAGCCTGCTGCGCTGTGCGAGTCCCTGAGTACATGCAGGGTGGGCTGGGGTCCGAGGCTGAGCGCTGGCGGGCACCAGCCCCCCTCTCCTTT